GCATAATGCCTGAGCACTCATACAGGCAGACAGTCGCCACTAGCGGTGGATCGTTGATAATGTTTCTGTGCGTGAGGTGATAATCAGTTTTGTGCCACCCTGGCGATAATTGCGGCTATACTGCGTTAGTCACCTTTTTAAGGACAATCCAGGATGAATCAGCTCTGATTTTTTACCAAAATTTAATTTAATTAACGTTTTATTTTTTTATTTTTAATAATTATTATTAGATTATCATACTATATTTTAACCCATTATTATTATTATTATTATTTTATGTTAAAAAAATCTGAGGCAAAAATAATTTGTTAATTTGGAAAAATAGCAAATGAGCACGTTTTGAACTAAGAAGATTTAAATATATGCAAAATTAAACACTGCAATATCAACCGTGCGTAACCCTTTTGATAAGAGACCTCCCAACAGTGTGGGAACCTTTGAGCTGCTGGTGCTTTCGACACGTTCGATTTGCAGCACCGTCGCCACCGTCCGCCTCAGTGTCATGTGATAAGCAACCTCTTGAGCTGCGGCTTTGGATAATTATGCATTTTTATGTATGCTGGCCGGCGATAATGAGCCAAGGTGTACGCTCGTATATCAAAGAGGCGCGGATCCCCCACCGATTTTTTGATGGCTATTTGGACAATCAATGATATCACGCAAAAACAGCGCACTCATGTATAGTCGTATGTATATTTCACCACGCCAGTAATGGTGTTATTGCTTGATAAGCGCGACACAGACTGCTGAGAGCCGCTGATAATTAGTATGTTGGACTCCAAAATTTGAAGAAAAAAAATCAGCCTTTTATGAGCATGATTTTTTTTATAAATCTTTATTAATAAAATTGAAAAAAAAACACTTTCAAATAATAAATTAATTATTTTTGTGTCGCTTTATAATTAAGCTCAACTCAAATTATTCTTAGACCATTTATTTATTTTAAGACCGATTTTTACGTGGAACTCTGAAACTGTAATTACACTTTTTACAGCACAAACTACTCGCATAAAAATTCCACAAAAACGAAAAGGCACGCAAAGCACAAATGTTTTTATCCGTTTATTTACTTTATTTGCAATTTTGTTTGTGGGTATTTTTACTTCTCCTCTTATCTCGATTCGAAATCAGAATCCACCTGTGCATGGGTTTAGAATAAGCTATTGATAGGCAGTTTTGACATTTGCAACCCCAGGGTGCATTTCATTGTGACAACTCTCTACTCTTTTTTTTTTTTATAAAATTCACAGGCAGACCCATGTTCGATTTCAACCACGGCTGCGTGAACCTGCCATTCTCTCTGAGACGATAAGTCCCAAACAATATATTTACTGCCCCTCACAAATAAACATTAAAAATTTCTCAGAAATCCCCTGAAAAAACATGGCACTTTTCATTCCCAAGCCAATTTCTCGCCCGGATTCAATCACATGAGAGAGGCTGTTATGGCCCTTTTCCTGCTGATGATGTGCGCGGGGATGGCCGCAGGTAATTTGGGAGTATTAACAGATGTAAGAGCTTCTGTGCTGTGTGAATATAGTGGGGGCGAGGGAGTGAGTATGGGGCGATTTCTCAGAAATGACCCTACGCTCGCGGCAGGCGGGTGGTCATCCTCTCCTTTTTCAAAAGACGTTTTATTCTTCACCCTCAGGTCAATTTTTTTCTTCTCAAATAAAATCATTTTATCCAAACGCAGCAAGCGGCGTGTCAAATCAGGTGTGGAATTCAATTCTGCTTGTTTATAAAAGACGCGCAGCAGGATTAAACAAAGTGCGCTATAGGCAAAATGAACAAGCGTGGCAAATGCGATTTCCATTCCAATCCAGCAGAGCACCATTAAAAATCAATCAAATGGATTCTTCACATTTTGATTTGATATCCAGGCGAGAATTTTACTACTTCCTGTGCAGATTGGAAATTGACAAAATAGATGGTGCTTTTTTATATCATTTTTAAAATTGAAGAAAATGGGATGTAGGTTTTTTAATTAAAGTTCTTTTCAATGACAACAATGCTTGTTTTCTTCACTTCCATGATGGTTTCCTTGAGAGCCAACTTTTTTACTAAAATTTAACTAAAATCATTTTGAGACTCCATATATGGTCTCAATTAATCGCAAGTATTTCGAATTTAAAATCGATCTCCATCAGCTCCTTATGAAAAAACAAAAAAATTGTCTAGCTATAATCATGAAAGTTTTGGTAAAAGTTTCAGCAGAATTAAACAGATCTATTAATTATTCCAATTAAAGATTTCTTCATAAAAAAATAGTGCACTTTTTTAACTAGAGGTAGCCTCAGAAATTTAAAAGTCCACGTCACCGCAAAACGCATTTGTGACTTTTCTTTGTTTCAATCTGCCGACTTTTCCCGGAAAAGTGGAAATGCCTCTTTATCGGGAGATTTCAATGCACGGAATTGAAAGGCGCCGCCAGAAAGATCTAGTCCAGCCACCGTCACTGCAGCTCATGCTCCTTCCACGAAAACTGCCCAAATTGAATAATGACCTGTTATTCAATTGGCCCTTTTCAAAGGAAACTGCGTCTGCCAGCCAGACTTGTGACTGCTCGCGCACAAAGGCCACAGCAACTGTACTTCTCTTTGTCCAAAACTCTTTCCACCATCAATTCCAAAATATTGACTTTCAAAATTCGCGTAAATGTAAGTTCATTAGAAAAACTATTTCACTCCAAGGGCTTGAATTATTTTTTTTTTTCAAAATCTCCCTCGAATTAAATTTTAACGAGCTTTTCAGGACTTTCACGCCATAATGAGGAATTTCATCATCTTCAGTTGCCGATTGTTTGAACATCAGCCAGATTTGCATATAAAAGAACTTTCATTTCACCTCTTCTCTCTCGATTTTGAAAAATCATCAGCAAAGTGTTTGCCGTAAACAGTAGGTCCTTGTGTCTTATATATATGATTTCTATAATCCTTCTCCAACAGAAGCATTGTTTGCTAAATTAACAAAAAGGCCTCTTCAGAGAGGCACTAAATTTTCCTTCTCCGCCGCCGACTCTGGAAGCAACGTTCTATTTTAATTACGTGCGCAAATGTACACGTAATTCCCGTCGCCACTCTCTTGAAATCGTTTTATTGACGCGGGATTTCACTTTAATATTAAAACTGGCTTCGACGCACCGAGATAATTTTGAGCCACAACAAGTCGGCGTTGTATTAAAACGATGTCAGGCGAACGAACAAGCGTTCTTGAAGGTATATTATATTTTTGGCCGCCGGCATTGCCACCAATAAAGAAAATAATAATTCAATAACTTCATAAAATCTAAATTTTTCTGAATTATTTGTAAAATTCAATCAAATTGAAAATTACGCTGATTTCAATTCTAAAGTTTAAATTTGTAAAATGTAATCAATTCAAAAATAAAAAGTAATAATTTTTTTTAATTTATTATTTTTGGTATCTCATTTCATTAATATTTAATTTATAATTATTCAAATTTTAATAATAATCCAGTTCTGATTTATTCATGCATTTACATTGAACACAGCGCTTGTTGATTTTCATTAATATTTCCTCACAGTTCATTGCCCCATGTTTCTATACAAATTTCATTCAAATCGGGCAATCAGAATGGAGTTTGATCTTATTTTCATTCATAAAAGTGATCAGAGCGGCCAAATAATTGCATTCGGCGTCAAACAAACGATCACTTCTTGGAATCTCACTAGCATGGAATATAAGACACTCTCTAGGAAAATCAATAAAACGCATCTCTTCCTGTCGTCAGGATTTTTTTCTTGGCTATGGCTTGGGTGTCATTTTGTTTCCTAACCCAAAGTATGGAGGGGCACTTCGGGGAAACGGAGTCATAAAGCGCCGAACAAGGAGACTAACACAATATATCTAATAAAGGTGACACCCAGCACAAATTAATATTTACCCACTGGGCAATATTTGCATTTCGAATTTCAATAACCAGCCAGAGAGAGCTGACTGACACTCTTCATCAAAGACTGTTTGTCTTTCCGAAAGAGAGCAGAGAAGATCGGATACATTCCAGCTCAACAGGAAGTGAACTCTTTTGATTAAACCAAACCGAGGGAAATTTCGTTTCCTTCTCTCTTATAAATTAAATTGAGATGTGAAAAGACTCTGGTCTGGAGTTCAAAATCACAAACAAAAGAAGAGATATCAGGGCCGACGACCCTGCTTCCTTCGATAACACAAAGGGTGCCATCAACACATTTCGGGTGGCTTATAAAAGCCCTCCCTCAACCCCGGGGGATAAAAAAGGCACTCTGTTTAATTCCTGACCTGGGCTGCTCATAAAATAAAAAGCCAGGCCGGGACACGAATTTTATTATTTAATAATAATAAAAGTAGTCTTCGGCACGTTTTGGAAGATAAAAAGCAGAGAAATTTCAGCGCACAACATGTTCGACGCTGCTGATAGAGAAAGAATGCGTTATGAATCGAGAAACATCATCAGGAGAGGAGGAATTCGGTTCGCTTGGGTTGTAATTGATTAGAACAGAACCAAGGTCAGCACATTCATAACATGATGAGACACGGTTTGATTTTCTTTAGAGCTCTCAAATATGAGAAAATTTATGCTCCGCAAAAATTCATATTTTGATGCGCCGATCTGGCGCCGACCTTCAATGTCACAAGAAATGCTTTCGCTCAAAAATATTTAGAAGAAATATAAATAATAAAATTTGTATGCTCTATGTTTAAATAAAGTAATAAATTTTGATCTCTAATTAAATTAATAATCACGATAATTTCTGATCAACATTAAATTTAATGATAATTATCAATACTGATAAAAATAATAAAATTTTCAAATTTAAAATCCACACAGATGAAAACAAAAATCAAAGTCAGTTATAAAATTAGATCGTTATGTTGTTTAATGTTGATGAAGGTCGTGACAATGGACACCACCCTATTTTTTGTTGACATACAATAGTAAAGTGGCTAAATAAAATTGTCAACTCTCAAGGAGTGCAAAAATAATTAAGGGTACTCACAGCTGGGCTCCCTTCCATGTCGCTGTCCGGATGAGGCGGGTTGTCCATGGTTTGGTAGACCGCCACGGACTGGGGTTCTCTGTTTTTGACCCGAATTTTGACGGATTTCTGGTGACCGGCCGGCGTAAGAAAGTGCTCCCAAAACTGTCCAAAGCACACGACACTGTCCGGCGGCGGACGCGACACGAGGGCAGACAGAGATCGAGGAGCTCGCGAGGAGTGTGTGTGTTTGCCGGCTGCTCGGCACTTGATCTGAGTCTCGCGGGACACGCAGGAGGTGCGGCGGCCGAACACGCCGCCGCCGGCAGCCAATCGCTTGAGGGGGGCGCGGCCTCCGGATCGCGCTCCTTCGAGGTGGAGTCTGCGGCCCGCGAGATCAGCTTGCTTTTTTAAGGAGGTTTTATATCAACCTTATATCCGCGCAGATCGGCCGCCAATGGGAGGGTTTGATCGGCGGTGCGCCTTTGTTGTCCGGCCGCGGCGGCAAATCAGAGACCGCGAGTCGCCGGCGCGCGCCAATTGCCCGGCAATTAATTCGGCTCCCATTGTGAATTTTCCACGCTCCGCAACGTGTTTCTTTTTTTGTCCTGTGCACATTTTTATTTGTACGTTTTGTTTTCTCTGCAGCTCGGTGTGGCTCGGGGCCTCGTCTCTGAGATGCTTTTTATATATCAACCTTTTTATTGTTTTTGGCTCAAGATTGATTCTTTTTGCCAGCGCTTTTTTCCTTCTTCGTTTTCTCTTTCAAACTTGTTTCCATAAGGAGTCATTATTGCGCCCATGAGATCACATTGAAGTTGGGTGAACAATTTTACGTCGATCTTTTCTCATGGTGTAAATTTTTTGCTAGGAAAGCTCTCTGCGGAAGTGCGGTGCGCGTGTATAATAAATTATTTGCATTCAAGAGAATATCGTATTATTATCTGTTCTTTTAATATATTTTCAAAATTGCATTACAATACTTTCGTATTAATATTTGCAACTCACAATAATTTGTAATAATTGTTTTTGGTATACATTTTCTGCATTTTCTATCCTTTAATTGACTACGGTTTCTAATCTTCAAATTTTCAAAAGTTGTCGAAAAGGACATTATGGGACATAACATAAAAAAAAATATTCTAAAATGATTGAATAAAGTTTCAATGCTGTTGAATTTAAAAAGACAATTAAATTTATTCGACGGTTTAATTGGCAGCTCAGTCAGCTGTCAAATAAACAACTATAAAACAAATAATCTCAGAAAAAGACTCGTAAGCAAAAAAGTGTGCTATTTCAAAAGTTACTCACGAACCAGCAACAAATTGAAACCAAAAGAAAAATATATATATATAATATACATTGCCGTAATCATTAAAGTTCTCTAAATTGTTACTGTGAAAACTCGCAGCAAATAGTGCTATGCTTTTAATTTTTCCGTTTTATGAATTGACATTACAATTACTGACGTTATATAGTGTACATCATTACTATTTATATCAAACCCCGCGCTAACTGGCGCTATAGCAATGGATAAGTGAGAAAATTATTTTGCCAGCAAGAAAGAATCTATTGTAAGATGGGGTACTTAAAAAAACTTTTTTTGCAATTTTTGGTCACTACAAAATTGAAAAATTTTCATGGCAGCAATAATGTGTTTCAGTTTAGTATTCTTTTGATGATTTCGTCTTTTTTACTTCAGTCAAGTTTTTCCACATTTCGCATGAATCACAAAAAATATGCATTTGGCTTAAAAGTGCAACATTATTATTATTTAAGTTCAAAACTTCAGACGTGGAAATCAATCATGCATGGGCATGGAATGAAGCCGCGTTTAGAATATCGTGCGAGACAATATTTTTCGAATTATCGCTATATGCACAATATTGTTTTTAATTCATTTCTAATTGCACTATATTCGCACTATGCTCCAAACTCCAAATGAGCATAATTATCAGCAGGAATGTACTGTGGTGGAACTTTATGATGCTTTATATATAATTTATGCTAATAGGTTCCTAATTTTTGGAAAATACAGGAAAATATTATCAACCTCAAAATGCAACAAAGAAAATTGTAAATTTAAATTAACAAGCAATATATAATTAAATTACATAAGTTAAAAATAATATTTATTGTGATTTTGAACTCAGTTCTCCAGTTCTCAAAGTATTTTTATTTATTCCTCGTAAATAAGTTTGTTCACTTATTTTATATCAAGATTCAAGATGCATTTTTATTTTCTCTACATTGGTATCATTATCATATTATCTTGAACGTGAATACTAAGAAGTAGTGAATACCGTGTTATTTTAAATATTGAACACCGTTTTTGCGTGAAATTAATTCATTTTCGCGGCATTGAGAGTATTGATTATCAAAAAGAACGTCCGAGGTGCCCTCTGTCTGTCGGCATAGGAGTTACTTTGTTCACGCCGGCACAATATCAACAAAACGTCAACCAGCACATGAGCACAGTCCATGATAATTTTGATTTTGATTAGAAACTTTGTTTCAACACGCTCTCTTTTGACCATCAAGAGGACAACGGACAACTAGCTGACCTTTAAGAAATTATCAGAGCATTGTAGGTATTTATGTATTATTATCAGAACTTATATGATTGTATATTTTTGTTTACATTTTTAAGATCTCATCGCAAGGCCAAAAGACCAAGCTTGAATTGTCTAGTTTAAAAACAAAAAATAATTAAGTGTGTTTTTTTTTTATATTTACCAGATATTCACTTAATTTTTTTTTTAAATTTACTTCATCGACAGAATGAACAGATAAAAAGTGATGTTTTAAAAATAATTTTTAATCTTTCATAAAATAAAAACTTTCTGCTGTCCATTCAGTCCGAAAACTACGATGTCCTTCTCTCAGCGTCACATTCCGTTCATGGACAACCCTCTCTTCAAGGCTGTGTTTCACGAACCAAGACCTGATTTTTCTGTTATCATCTACCGCACTCTTCGCATCGAGAACCAAAACACTTTGAGCTCAGCCGTCTATGACCTGTTCGCAACCCTGATGTTACCAAGAAAATTAGCCATGGAACGCTCCGAGTTCATCAGGATGTGGAAGTCCCTGCTCCTAGCGCGCGTCCAACAAGTTTTGCGCAAGGAAGAGTTTACAGAAAAACCCCTGTTCGAACCATTTGGCACTTTAGTTCCAGCACCTCTTGGAGAGCTTTTGGATGCTATTGGCTCTTTCTCCAGCCAAGCCAGAGGAGGAATTTACCGCATCAAGCCACCAGAGAACAAGGGAGAAGACTGGTGGAAGATGGACAATGAACTTCTCAGGAAGTGGTGGCTTCTCAAGACCCAAATGAAAAGGCATTACAAACTGTTGGAATTTCCATCCAAAGATGATGTCCAGAATAGGCCCCTCATGCTGTTACTGCGCCCTGAGGAAGGTCAAGAAGAACCATTCATCAAAGCATGGACAAATGAACCTCCACCTGAGCTGCCTCATCTGCATTTGGTCAATGACCCCTTATTTGAAATTCACCATGTCATCAAATATGAACATTGTGCTTTAAGATACACCAATCCTTGTACTGAACTTCAATATCGAAGTGCCTATCTTGCCTCCTTCATTGAGAAATAAAAATACATTGAAAATAAGAAAATAGACAAAATTTAATCTTTTTTCTAGTTCATTCTGTTATTCATGGTAAAGTTAATTTAAAACGTATTAAATTCTTTTAAACATTGAAAATATTATTTACATCGATTATTTTGTGTTGTGATTCTAACTGATTCTGAAATAAAAGGTTTATTTGGAATATTAGCTGGAATGAGTTCGTCCGCTCTTTCTTACCAAGATGGGGCAGACCTTGAGCCTAGAGAGTTGATTCCTCAACTTTGCAGACTTTTTTACGGGTGAGTCATAATTAATAAGACTTTGAAATTAAAATCAAAGATTTGATTTAAACGAACATCACTTCAATTTTTAAGGTGTTTTTTGATAGAGGATGAAAAATAGAAATTAATTTTTTTTTCTACACTTCTATTAAGGATTATATATATTTTTTTAAATAAACCGCTCAAGCTTTGATAATTTTGCTTTCAAATATATAATTTTGGCTATACACGTCATATACTTTTAAAATTATTTTTAAGAGCATTTTCTTTAATTTCATGCAGACTGGGCTGGGTTACTGGCTCTGGTGGAGGAATCAGCATTAGGAAGGGTGATCAGATTTTCATCGCACCCTCTGGTGTGCAGAAAGAATGCATCCAGCCAGATGATCTCTTTGTGCAGGACTTGGAAGGCACGGACCTGTCGGTGCCACCGCCGAGCAAGAAGCTGAAGAAGAGCCAGTGCACTCCGCTCTTCATGTGTGCCTATCGTCTGCGAAACGCTCAAGCCGTCATTCATTCTCATTCAAAAAGCGCCGTGCTTGCCACTCTTATCAGCGCTGGAAATGAGTTCAAATGCACCCACCTTGAAATGATCAAAGTAAGAGGATAGTAATTTTTTTTATTTAAAATGATCTTGAAATATTAATTAAATATTATTAATTTACTCTGTTCTTTGCCTACAGGGAATTTATGATGCAAAACTTGGTCGTAATTTGAACTATAACGAGACCCTGATTGTGCCCATTGTCGAAAACACCCCTTTTGAGGCAGACCTAGAGAGCAGCTTGGCTGCGGCCATGGAGAAATACCCTGGCACTTCAGCAGTTCTTGTCCGCAGACACGGTTTTTACGTTTGGGGCAACTCGTGGCAGCAGGCAAAAGTGATGGCCGAGTGCTACGACTATCTTTTCGATATGGCTGTCAAAATGAAACAAATGGGGTTGGACGCTTCTGCTGCTCCTGATGACAAAACTAATGGAACCCCATGAATTCATTTATCTGTTATTAATGTTGAATTAAACATAAATTTTATAATTATTACTGTTTCGGTTTATAGAAAAATTAATTTTTTCCAAATTAAAATAAATAAATAAAATTTGTCTGATGTAAATAATTTTAAAGCTTTTTTTAATCTCCTAAAATTTTACCACAACTGGTTTGTCACGAAGTGCATCAGACCATTTGAAATGTGCTGACGTGTGAAATGAGAATAAAATTGATGATGCTGAGCTGGCGCTAATTTGTAATTGCGGCGCGTATAAGAGGAATGTGGGGTATCAGCAAGGGATGAGATATATGAGATGTTCTAACGCATCTCGTCCGTGCGTGAGCGACAGCGCCCTCTAATAAAACGTCAGGTTTCAGATCATTTATCTTGTTTAAGCGTCAACTGAAATTGGCACGAAAGTATGTCTAACGTGGAATCTAATTTTGCATTTAATGCTAAATTCTGATTTTCTCTCGTGTAAATTTTAAATTTCCACTCGTTTAAAAAAAATGTGATAAGTTTTATGTTATGAGAATATAATATTTATATATATAGCTTCAATTTTCGCATTTAACAAAATAATTATATCATACAGAAATAGAAGTTCAGTAGTGTTTCATGCCTCTTCTCCAAACAGTATCCTTTAGATAAGGCAAGTCGGCACTTGACAGCATATTTTCCAAAATATCTTTAAAGCCTAGTTGACTAGCTACTCTATATTTCACCTCGACGGACTTAACGTTATTGACGATTTGCTTCATCATTTTTGCCATATCAGAATTCAAACTAGATTCGTGCTGGAATCTGGAAACATATAATTACTTTTAATTTATTTTCAAATCTTTATTTGGAAAATGTAACCTTCTTGAAATATCCTCGACGAGAGCAGGCGTTAGGTTCATTCCTTGCTTGAAATCTGTCAGATACTTTTGCTCGTTTTGCAACACGCAGTGGTGATAAAGTGCTGCACCCCAATCTACTGGATGGTTATAAGCCTTAGCCACAATGATAGCCTGAGGAAAACTAATTTTGGAGGAATATTAATAAAATGAAGCGTACAGCTAGATGTGTGTAAATACCTCAGACGATTTGTAATAAGGATCGATACTTGGGCTTGCTCTTGTCCCAAAAGACAGTCTAAAGTTTGCCCGTTTGGCACTCCAATGGTTAATGAAATCTGCAAAGCAATTAATTCTGCCTGACTGGCCGAATCCATTGCTTTAGTCAGTTTATTAGCCTGCAGATAGCATTCGGCAGCGTGTGTGTAGTTTTGCATGGCAAGCTTGAGTTGATGACCTAGGTCTGTGCTTGCTTTGAGCACTTCCGGGGTCGGCTGCTTGGGCTTTGGTTTATATTTAGTGGCAGAAATGGCGATCCCTAGCTCAATGACAGTGATGCTAAGCAGTCTGCCGATTGTGTTCTTTGCTTCGGCCTCCCAAATCTCTGCAACCTCAGAGTAGAGACGGAAGTGCAGTGCGACAAGTTGCAACAAATCTCGATTTTCGGCACATTTGCTGCGAACGAATTCTAACAGGGCGATTTTTAATCCAGGAACCTGCTTGGGAACATAATTATTTAAATGAAAATAATTTAATTTATAAATTACCTTGTCCATTCCTTTCCCTAAAAGATACTCAAACTGCTCATGATCTTTGAGGATTTTAAAAATGTAAGCCATTTCGTTGTATCTGCCAATACCAGTTACAAGTCGAACCTTTATATGAGAGATGATGGGTGTTATGATAAATTTAATTTATATTTATTATATTACCATTAATTGCCACTCTTGCTGTTGAAGAAGGTTTGACGTCAGTGCTCTGGCCCGAAGAAGAACTTCTGCAATGCCCTCCATGTCACATGCAGCCGTGTAGCAATCGTGAGAGCGGATCAGCAACTCAACTATTACACCATGGACTACAAAGTGGATTTTATTAACATTCAACCAGAGATATTTATTGAGTTTTTACATACCTTTTTTGATATTATCTGGAGTTGCCGATAAATGCAGAGGTCGTGTTAATTCCAAAAGATTCAGCCCTAAGAGGACTGGGTCCTGGCACAGCTCCAGCACAAGATGAAAGCTGCTGTCCAAGTCATAACCCCAAAAGAGTCCACCTAACAATTCATTTAAAAAAGCTTCAGGAAACAAATTTTTTTTACCTTGAACTTGGTTCTTTGAAACAGCAGCTAAAATTTCATCTCGAAGGAATGCAGTCATGTCTTCTTTGCTGATTTGGCCAGCCAAAGATAAATCAGAGGCAACAGCAAATTTGCTCAAGCAATCTTTAGAAATTGCTGCTTTCAACACACTAAGAGGATTTTCCATTGTGATAATATCCTAAAGAATTGGAGTTTATAAAACGATTATAAAGTAAAATCTTCCACTAACAATGTAAGATTTGTCCATGTTCATTGCTACCCTGAAGCAAGCAGCAATACGTTCTCCAATAATTTTACCATGAAGTAATCTGTCGGAGAGCTTTTCGATTGCTGCAAGAGCTTCCTGCTGCTCTTTAGGAGGAAGTTCTACAAAGTCAGAACTGAGACTGGTGCTGTGACCAGGGCTGTTGAGAGAATCTAATACAAAAATTGACCTTGTTAGGGACTGTTGTTCCTAAAAATCAACAGGAATCATACTTGAAGCCAAAGAAGATATTTTGAGGGAATATAGGGGCCTTTTTCGGAAGCTGCTGGATGGGGTGTATGACTGCTCCATGAGAAGTCGTTGCTCTGAGCTGAGCTGGTAAGGCATGATTTCACTCTCAGCTAAACTTAGGCATGTAACGAGTAGCCGTAAATCCTACAACATGTTTTAGGTTATTTAAAAATAAAAGATGAAATGTAAAACAAACTCTGTTTTTGTGGCAAAACAACGCCTCAAGTCGCATAGCAGAAGCTACTCTTCCTTGATCCAAAAGTTCTCCTATCACTTCATCTAGTGCTTTAGCTTCATTATCATTCTCTAGCTTTGTCTCAAAGTCGATGTAGCCTATGCCTGCCTCGGAAAAGAGCTCTTTCCTTGTTTGGGTAAATAATTTTGGTGTAAGAGGTGCATCAATCTTTAACAGAATGTTCGCAGTTAAAATTCATATGGGTTTAGAATATATGCGTGTTTTAAATTACATCACAGTTCTTTCCAATCTTCAGTCTTGTGCGCCACATTTCTAGCTTGACTTCAATAGCTTTGGTTATGTAGCAGTCCTGTCTTTTCCTCACACTCATTTGCTTTGACAGACTGTACCAACTATGGGCCAACTGCAGCACTTGGTACCTGTCGTAAATATTTCTCAATTAAATTAACAACATTAAATGGTAGATTTACTTTTCTAAAACACTTGTCCTGGTTTCTGCATGCTCGTGAAAAAACTCAGCAGCTACTAAGGGCTGAATTTTTGATTCAACAAACGCAACCTGACACTCCTTCCAAAAACTTTCATTTCCTTCCGTATCCCCTAGCGCGTTTATGACTCTAGTCCACTGAAATTATACGATTATTATTTAATGGAATTTATTATATATTATCTTCAATATTCACCTGAGCTATCACAACAGATTCCCTTGGAAGACCAGCAATGCGAGCCATTTCCAAGGCTTGCTTGAAGAAACCTCCTTCTACCAATCTCTGTAAACAAGCCTCTAGCTCACTGTCTGAACCTCTACGAGATACACAGAGAGCAGTGTAGTCCAAAGTAACGCCAGTTTCCAACAAGCACTCTTGCAGTTGGAGCAAGTGTGTAAAGTCTGGACACTCAACTAATGACAAATTTTTAATTTCGAATAAATTGACAACAAAAATTATTTGATCATTGTTACCTGTTATGTACTCAGAGAATGCACTCTTGCAAAGCACCTGAAGAAATTTAAACTGATGGAATGATGACGAAAAAGTATTTGCCAGGGCTGTGCAAACGATTTGAACGGCTGTTTTGTAAATCCAAGTTCGCTGCATCAAAAATGCTTTAGTGCCGTCTGAAGTCACCTATTAAAAATGAGCACTCTTATTAAATCCCAGGCTTCTTAATTGAAGATAAAAATAACTCACTGCCACTGGAAGACTCTGGCATTGCGACTTAAAAGTCTGAATCAGATCTGTTGCCTCATCAAAGCTCTTGTCCACTGCGCCATTTTTAATAAACCTCAACAAAGTTCTCAGGGGGCACTCCTAAGATAACACAATATTTGGTAAAATGATCAAGAGGAATTACTATTTTACAAACCGGTAAAAACACATCTAAACTTATAGAAACAGTAGCAATATGATGAGTCCTCAGTGCAATCAACCAGAGCGTCGGAATGTTCATTTCGTTCCAAATGAACAAATTTCCGCCAATTTCTTTCTCAATTTTTTCCCTCGCACTCCTGGAGACTGAAGACACTATCCAAGTTCCCAGACAATCAACAAACGAGCAATTCTACAAAGAAAAATTTAATGAAATAAAAGGAATAACATTTCAAGCAAAAACCTACTTCGTAGCAAGATGCCAATACAGCTAAGAACGGGTTGTTATGGGCCAGACAAGCCTCTAGCATAGCTCTTGAAGGGTCTATAGATGAGTGGCAACCTAAAATGCAGCGGAAGAGATCTCCTTCCATCAGGTGAGAGGTAAAGGAGCTAGCAGTGAGCTCGTTCTGCAGTGAAGATTCACTGCTCCAACTTATTGCCAAAAGAGATGCCCCATCTGGAGAGCCATCAGTTGTTGGAGAACACTGAAAATATAAACCATTAAAAATTGATTGATGGAGAGTGTCCATAAATGAACCTTCACAACTTTCTCAGTTAGTCCAATTCTAGAGTAAAGAGATTTCCTTGTGTCTCTGGATTTAAAAGGTGACGAAAGTTTCTTTGTTGGATTTTGAGAGGTACGGAGGAAGGAATGCTTTAGGTGGTCCTTCATGCTTTTTGAGCGCACAAACTCCACTAGATGGAAAGCCTGTGGAATAAATTATTTATGAAAAAAATTGAGCTTCAAATCTTAAAATAAATATTATACCTGCTCAGTTGTGTACTGGTACAACTCAAGGCAAATAACAAAGTGGAGCCACATATCATTTTCGCAATAAAATTTCAGAAGAGATTCAGGCATTGGAAGGCTGTGCACTTTTGAGAGCCGAACGGCGACAGCCCAATTTTGAATTGGCAAGAAAGTGTTGATTTGATTCAGGTCATTTGGTATGAGAGATTGTTCCAAAATGGCTAACAATTTTGGTGCAGCCTCCTCCCTGTTCGACAGCAGACTGTTTAGCAATTCACCTACATGATTCAAACCATACAGATTTTGTTTTGCCAGCTAGTTTTTTTCTTACTTATGGAGTCTTTCGTTGCAGGTGACGGAATATTTTTCAAAATTAATAAACCGGTTGAAATGTGTAGCCTCGATTTCTCAGATTTCAAGCCCAGCATTTCTATGAAACTGACGCAAGCAGCCACAATGCTCTGGTTTGAAAATCTGCTCAGGGCAATCCCATGGGCCACATTGCAAGCTTGTTTAATTCTAAATGTCCACAAAAATTATTATTAGTTTTTAAAAAAGGGAATAATAAAAAAAAATACCTTTTTTTACTGAGTTTCTTGAACAACTTCAATTCATCTACTATAAAAGAGCAGTATGCATATGAGGGGCGGCCTTGCTTCAGGTAATATTCATAGTTGATAAACTGGTTGTTGGCGTACTTCTCGTATAGACTACCTTTAGAAAAGTTTGGCATCTTCAAAGTAGTTTCGTCAATAGAATTCCTGGATATGGAAAAATTAAAGCTTTAATGTTAAAAAAATAATAATATCATGTACTTGTGATTCTCCTGCCAACCAAAAAGTTTTGGTACGTCAAAAACAGATCCTCTTTCCAGCATTTCGTACATAGATACGTCAGGTTTCTGACTTTTGTCCCACGCTTCCTCTGTGAGTATCATTTCAAAAACTGGAAAGCTCCTCTTAACAGATTCAATCAGCTTTTGATTCAAAGGCTTTTTGAGCCCATCAAATGCATCTTCAGCCAAAATTTGGTTGAAGTTTTCTTTGTTCTCCAACAAAATAAGCGCCAAAACAATGAAGGGTTGTTGTTCCAAATAGGCTTCAACTTGATCATCCGCAAGGAGACTGACATTGGACTTGATAGCATCTAAAAAGTGGTCTGTTGACGGGTCTTTTGAGAATTGAACCAATGAAAACCAAGCTCTCAGCCAGACTTGCGCACTTTCCGACACTTCACATTGTTCGACCATCTCTTGCAAGTTCTCGTTGTCGGCCAGAAGAGAGAAAAGCACTGGTGCAAGTTTATGTTTTGCGCAGAATTTCAGCAGCATTTTTGAAAAGTCATTCCAACAGATAACTGCAGTTGGAGATTCAAGAGCGCTTTTTACATTGGGTAAATTTTTTGTTCGGACAAACCTTATTAAGATTGAACTTATGGAGGCTTTGTCGACAGAACAGAAAATTCCTTGGCGGCTAAAATGGTCCAGAACCGCATCTTTGGTTGATTTGAGACAATCAGCAGTTGTGACCCTTTCAACCATTTCCGTAGAAATATCCCAAATTTTAAATATGTACAACACTTTGTCCGCAAACTCTTCTTCGCAGTTCAAAATAAGACGGATTTGTCTTGAAATATCAGCAGCTGAGGAACTTTTAAGCCTCAGATCTATCCAAATTTTTAGCAGATCTGGCCTGTTGATGATCAACAGGTAGTTCCAAGCTGCCACAGGTTCAACTTGCATCATAAGCTCTGAAACTGATTTAAAAATAAGTTACTTGAAATTGATGTTATTTTGTCAATTCAAAACCTTGAAAGGCAAAAGCCAACTCGGCCCAAATTGTGTCGCGCCACAGAATAGGCTGGCTAGTTATGTATCCGACTGTAAGCCGCAAATAATCGGTCTTTGTCAATTCACTAAAATTGATAGTTTGCTATTATAGTAAAGCAAAATTATTTGAGTCAATTGAAGTAAAAAACCTTGGCTTGAAATTCTTGTGCAAAGCATGTTTGACCTGCCTCAAAAACAAACCAGCGTGTCTTTCATCTTCTGTAAGCATGTTCTGATTGGAAAGGTGGCCAAACAGAAAATCTTGCAATTTTTCTTCCAGAGTCCGCAGATAAATCGACTTCATTTCATCCAAAGGAATTTTCCCCTAAATCATATAAACATATTTATCATTAAAATATTTTAACCTATTATATTTCAAACTTACCAAATTTGTCATGACCTTCTGGGCTTGAGTCAACTCTCCCAACCTTAAAAGTTCCAAAATCCAATCATTGGCTATGGCTTCAAACTGTCTGTCAACATTTTTCTGCAGGGCTCGTTTGGCAACCACAAAATAAGTGTGTGCCATGGGAATGCAATTTTTTTCTATCGAGTGCTTTACAATTTCTGTTTCACTCATCACAAACCAGCTTTTCCATAGGTCTTTCATTGGCTGGCTAATTCCTTGCAGTTCTTTGGGCAAATCAGAGTCGCTCTCAACTTTGGCAGCAAATTTCGGAGTGTGATACAAATAGGAGCGGAACGTGGTGATGCTCTTCAGGATTTTCTGCTCCAGCTGCAGCAAAGGGGTGGAATTTTCCGGCTTAGAGTCGATTATTTTGTAAATGCTGCCGAGAAGATCATAGAAGTGGTTGAGACTTAGCGTAACCAGGTGTTCAGCATAGTCTAGGCTGGAGACGTTGTCTTCCACACTGGTCAACAAGGACTGAAAGATCTGATCCAGGTTACCAATCAAGTCTTCAACATTGCTTGATTTTGTTAAACTTGAGACAGATTTAAAAAAACCTGAAATAAAAAATTAATTTATAATCAAACTCTGAAGTTCAGCAAAACAAATACCATGGTTGTGGATATTAAGTGAAAATTTTATGGAGTCAATTTGTCTATTGTTCAACCCTTCGGAAATCACTGGAAGTGCTACATGTATGTCCTTCCATCCTTCACCCTGAAGGACACTCATCATGCCAAGAACTCCTACTCGCTGGATTATCTGCGGAAAGCACAATAAAATACTCTGAAAAGGGGTTTTTTAATTTCTATACCATAGTTGCCAAGTTTCTCTTCGAAACGTCGCAGCTGTGCAGTCTGATCTTCCCTGGAGAAATGAAAGCGTCAGCACATCCCATGAAACCGGAGAGCAGAGCTTTTGTGTGGTCGGAGAGAAACTCCTCGTCCAAGCAAGCACCGGTGTTGAGATTGTAGAGGCGGAAAAGACCTCCATCGTCCTGCTGTGTGTACCAAACTGTGAGGCCAGCGGAACAGAAATTCAAGTCCTGAACGCAGCATCCTTCAAGAGCTGTGACCTGTGTGTACTCCAAGGGCAGTTCGATCGCGTCCTCTAAGCTTGAAGAGTGAAACGAAGAACCTTGAAATGGGCGCTGTTTTAAAACAAAACAAAAAAACAACATTTTTACTCTCACATACTTAGATTTAACGACTTTCTGTCTGGAAAGCTCTGGTGCTGAATTTTTAGGGGATAACTCTCAGACCCCTTGAACTGAAATCTCTGGTTACTGGAAACTTGTCCGGCACTTGCGGAAAGAGTTTGGACTTGAGTTGCAATTCTGGAAATGTATTTTTTAGTTTCATATATTTCAGGAAATGATTTAAGTAATAAACCTTGATTCTAAAGTGACTTTGGCCACTAAGTCCTGTAGATCAATTATGTATATCTGGTGATTTAGATCAGTCACGGCAATGCTCTGCGTGGAGACTGCCAGCTTTGTAAAAAATCTTTCCACGACAGTACCAGTGGCCTCATTTAGGTACTGGGCGATTTTGATGTCAAGATGTTTTTCTACACCAGTATTAACATCAAAGATGTCTAAATATAAAAATTATATTTCTTTTTAAGAATACATAATTTTCCACTTTCATACCAAGTGTGCCAAGTTCCGAAAGTAGGTAAATTTGTCCATCACAAATTTTAGCATCAATGAATTTTTTGGCTGTGCTGATCGCAAAGTCTTTTACCCAAATGCCATTTTCATTCCACTCTAGAGACAGAATGTAGCCAGTACGACAGACTAATATCACTTGATGCTTTGTGAACCTCAAAATTTGTGGCTCGAAGCTTCTCCTATCACCAGGGATATCTAATATCATTTAATTAAAAATCAAATTGAAATAATAATAAGAATTTAAAACCTAAAAAATTGGGCTGTCTCAAATTTTTTGTTGTCAATGGACAAATCTTTCTGCCTTGGCGAAATCCAAAGATTGTAATTTCCCCATCCTTTGTGACAGTTGCTAATTCTTCACTGTCTTCTGAAAACTTCAGGCTGAAATTAAAATTTGTTAATATATTACATTTGGAGCAATTTAAAATTATATTAATGCCTGCAAAGTTTTTTAGCCGATTTCCAGATAAAATCGCCGCATCTGAACTGGCTGTTTGTTTGAAAAATCGGAATGACGAGTCCTTCATTTCCCTTGCTCAACACAGCGATGAGGTCGAGGTTGAACGAAAATCCGATGCTTTTCGCATCCTTGACGATGGTCAGGGGTCTCTTGAACTCGGCGATGGAGAATTTTTGGATGTCCATCTCAAGTGGCACATTGGCAGCAGGTCATCGTCGGACGCTGATTCAGGTCCGCATGACCTCCAATTCCAATGTTTACTCAGTCATATGGCCTGCCGGACCCGCCCCGCTCTTAGCCAATCAGAGCACTGCTTTCAGATCCATTATCCAGTCCGTGAGTGGCGCGCAAAATAAGTCGTAGAAAATTACACGTCACTTTTAGCCCGAATTTACACCCTTTCTCACACCTCGGGGTACTTTTATTGATTAAAAATTTACAATCACGATAAATATGAATTTTTTCCATCAGAATAATTGTGGTTGTTTGCAGGAGAATCAAGGATTTCGCCTCAATAGGCAAAGTGCGCACGCAATCGAGGACAAATTTTTCCATCAGCTGGCTTGGAAACAAGAACAAGTGGGCTGGGCTGTCAAAATAAAGGAAGGCTATTGACTCAAATGCCAATTTTTAGTGCTTGCTAGTTGCGAAAGCCATTATTTCGTGTCGCGTTTGCCATTTTTGATCGCGTTTGGCCGTGAATTTGTGACAGAGCAGCAAGTGTTGAGAGCAGCCAAAAGATGAGTTGGTTGGAAAACTCGGTGAACTTTGTGCTGAAGAAACTTGTCAGTTTAGAAGTTCCACCAAACAAAGTTGTCGAAGTCAAGGCTCAGGAGTTTAGCTCAAGGTTTGTCCGGAAGAGAGAAGAGTCACTGGTCCTCTACGGTCCAACCGAGACCAGAAACACCGACACCAAATACGAGATCGTTCTCAATGTTCCTTTCAGGGATGAGGCCTACAGGTTTGTAACTGACCTATGACCTTGCATCCTTGCTCATAACATTATCTTGATTTTAGCCTTTACCGATCTGAAAACCTCAGGGAAGCTGAAGAAAGATTTGAGACGTTCAAGAATACAATTCCAGCCTGTACTGAAATTGCACCAGAGGCAAGTATTAATTTAAAATTTTACAGATTTATGTATGTATTTTGTAATTTTGTAACGTTCCTTATAAATCGGGGCTATTTTTTTTTAATTGACATCAATATAATTTGTTTACAGTACGTTAATTTTTTGGTCTCTTCTACTATATAATAAAACAATTGGTTTTTATCACATTTTTTCTCTTTTTAATTGATTTCATATGCTTTAGGCTGCTTTAGACCTTTCTAGAATTTTTTTTTTTTATAAAAATTTAACACACGATTAAAAAAATCATTATTTGACCCATTTGACCTAGCATCAAAACCTTAAGATTATCTAATTACTAACGAAATTTTAAAACGCGAAAAATTGAGCTAAATTTATTTATTTGAAAACAGTGTAATTAATTCTATCGTTAAATACTGAAGTATTAATGTCACGTGGAATGCCTCGTTTAGAATTATCTAGACTCTTGAATCATCTCAATCTATTTGTGTGGTCAAGGGCACTACTCAAGTCAATTTTTTTGCTACGATAATAAGTTGAACTCACAAAACGAACATCATTCGTTTCCTGCTTTTTATCTCACCATATCATAAAACCATTTAGCTGGTGCTTTGTGAAAAGACCGCCCTTGCAAATGTAATTCGCTCAATGATAATTTTGTTGGGTTAGTGTCAATCTTTGGGGCTTTGTTAGCTCATATAGACTTTTATTCATGAATTACAATTAATTAAAATCCACACCTGTAACATTAATTCAAATTAAAAATTATTAAAAATTACATAAAAATAAATAGTGTAATAATATACATAATCGTTTTCCATGTTTATTTATAATGAAAATAATTTATTAAAATTTAAATATTAACCTTTGAATGCTTCCAATTCTACGAAAACGAGTCACCGATTTATTGATTTATTACAATTCTTTCACTGTCCATCCAAGACATGCACAAAATAAAGCAATTCCTTACTGAAAATTCCAGCTCTGCAATACGTCTGACATGCAACGAGTTTGTGACACGATGGCTGAGCACAAAGGTTGGTCCGTGGGTCACCTAGTGGCCCATATGAGTCTTGTCGAAAGTGTGCAGAATCCCCTTGTTTTGAGGTAATGATTTTAATAGAATTTATTAACATTGAAATTAATTTATTTTTTTTCCGACAGTTGCCTAAATTTTGTGGAACCAACATCTGGCCGTCTACCCCTGCACGTCGCATTGGAAACTGGGAACAAGAAACTGATCCAGGCTTTTGTTACACACGGTTCCTCCCTGATCGCAAAAGACTGGGAAGGAAACACCTGCTATCACTATGCAGCAACCACGTCTCGGGAAATTATCCAGGTTTCAATGATTCAAATAACGGTATTAAAGTGACTAAAACGTTGTATTCCAGTATTTGCAAGCAACTCTGAAGGACCAACCTGAGCTCTTGGATGAAACCAACAAAGATGGCCTCACTCCCCTCCATTTGGCCTGTCTGGAGGACAAGCCTCCTTGTGTCGAGGCCCTTCTTCTGGCAGGCGCTAATGCAAATATTCCTTCGAAGAGTGCAGGACCAAAAGAGCCGCCGCCAGTGAAACAGTTCCAGAGGGGTTTAGTAGCCGAGTACCTCCAAAGGAACCCCAACAAACTTATTTATCAGGTAATTAAAATTTTTAACAAATTAGAAGGTATTTTCAAGGGGCATGTTTAAGTTGTCTCCTTATATGTGGCATGGATTTGGTGTTGAATATAAATTTACAGACATTTTTTTTGTGCTAGCCCAAAAAATACCCAGATGAGGTAAGCATCTTTCCTTTAAAATAAATTTTGCAGCTTCCTTTCTTTATTTGGAATGAGTGTCCTCCTGTTTCCGTCTCTTTAATTTAATATCCATCCTTTTCCATTTTTTAATTGGCTGTGATATTTTTGGTAGAGGTAGTTCCTATTTTTATGGTTTGTCAATGTCTTGCAGGACATGAAATTCGGAGGAACGCCCTTACACTGGGCAAGTTCTCGAGAAGTTATTGAGACGTTAGCCGACATGGGGTGTGATGTGAATGCAACAAATTTCTCTCAAAGAACGCCACTCCATGTGATGGTAATAATGTCAAATTATAATTTTTTTTTTAAAATTTAATATAATTTAAAATAGGCATCCAAGGGCAAACTGGACTGTGTCGTTGCCTTGCTCAGTTGCGGCGCCATTGTAGAACTGCGAGACCTCCAAGGAGACACACCTTTGCACCTTGCTGCAAGGGAAAGGAGCATTTCCGTAATTCAGGCTCTGCTGATCTATGAAGCGCCTTTAGACATCTTGTAAAATTGATAAATTCTGTATTAAAACTCATTACAATTATTTTTATCTAAGGAACAACAAAGGGTTTTCTCCGAGACACGAAATTGCATCTTCCGAAGATGACTATGTGCCTCAGAGACTTTGGGCTGTTCATGCAGTTGGGGCCAAAAGGTGTCAGCCAGACACCTTTGGATGCAAAGACGGTTGCATCGCTGGCGGAACTTTTGATGGTCTCCCGCCTAAAGATCCCACAGTTGTTCTCCCGAGTCAACAAGGGAGGGAGATTTTGGAAAAACTGGTGAATGAAGGAGCATTGGCTGCAAAAGGTAAATACAGAAAGCTTGAAATTAAATTTAGATAAAAATTATATTTGAATTTTGTAGAGGATGGAGTGAGACTTCTTGCTTTGGATGGTGGTGGCATCCGTGGTCTGGTTTTGGTGCAGGTTTTGCTGGCCATCGAGAAAGCTCTCAATGGTGTTCCACTTACTCACGTTTTTGACTGGATAGCAGGGACCAGCACAGGAGGAATATTAGCTCTTGGTTTATCCACTGGTACTTTTCTTGTTATTTTCTCAAGATCATATTTTCAAAAATACAACTTTAGGGAAAACAATACTTGAATGTCAGTCCGTCTACTTGAGACTAAAAGAGCAAGTCTTTTGTGGAAAGAGGCCATACAACAGCGAGCCCTTGGAAAAGATGCTCCAGACTGCTCTAGGGGAGCACACAGTCATGACGGAAATCAAACACCCAAAAATAACAATCACGGGACTGCTGGCAGACCGTAAACCACCAGAAATGCACATGTTCCGCAACTACGACAGCGCCATTGACGTCTTGACGGGAACACATCACCTGCCAAACCGCTTGCCCTCCAATCCCAAAGAATACCACACACCCCCCAGTCCAAAAAGCCAAAAGCTCTGGGAGGCAGGTCGAGCCACTGGAGCTGCTCCTTCTTACTTTAGGTAATAATTTTTATTGTTGTAGTAGAATTTCACGATTGAGGGTTGATTCACGGTGACTTGAATTTAAAGTCGGCTTTTCCTTTATGAGTTTTGTGAGTTTTTTGTTGTTTAAGAAAAAGCAAAAGAAGAGCAGGATATTGTTTTTCTTAAAAAATAAAAAATTCACAAAACCCATCAAGGAAATTCAAATCACCATAATAATTTTTAATTTGGCTAAATATATTTTTATATCATTTTTTTTTTTATATTTAGAGCATACGGCCCATTTGTAGACGGTGGTTTGATTGCCAATAATCCGACTATGGACGCTATGACGGAAATTCATGAGCTAAACTTGGCTTTGAAGGCTGTTGGTCGAGGGGATGAGGCTAAACCTTTGTATGTAGTGGTCTCAGTTGGCACAGGAGAGATTCCTCTTTCGCAGGTAAGAAGAGCAATATTTTTCTGTATAATTAAATTATTTATTTTATTTTAATTCTAGATGGCTGATTTTGATGTCTTCCGACCTGAGAGCCTGTTTGATACCATGAAGGTTGCAAGAGGACTCTCAACTCTTGGCACTCTTCTAGTGGACCAGGTAAGTTTTTTTTATATATATTCCAATTGACATCTTTAAATGAGAAGCAATAAAAATTTTAAATTGCATAATTTTCAGGCAACTCTTGCAACAGGCAGAGTAATTGACAGGACGCGTTCATGGTGTAGCTCAATGGGGGTGCCGTTTTTCCGATTTTCGCCACAGATGTCAGAGGAGGTACTGTTTCCATTCTATTTTGCTCATAGAGATTTCAACTCAGGAATTGCCGTGTGTTTCAGATCGAGATGGATGAAAGAGACGACGCCAAGTTGGTTAACATGTTGTGGGAGGCTAAAGCGTTCATGCACAAGCAAACAGTGCCTCTGCAAAAATTGGCCGAGTTGCTCCTTAAAAATCGTAATGGAAATGTAAAGTGATTTATTTTCCAAAAGTGCGTATAGATTTTTTGAACTAAGGTCTAAAATTGAAAAAAAAAAATTATTGCTGTTGCCGTTAATTTTGAGTGACGATATGATATCAGTGTGAGTGAGTGATCAATTTTGAGGGAAACTTTTGCACGTTGAAATAATTCAGCTTCTTTGTTGACCACCTGTCTTATACACACTAGACTAAAATTATGCAGCCGTTTGCACCGCAACATGCTTTGTTCAAAGAAAGTTTATATATTTACTGAAAAGCTCATTATATCGTCAGTGATAGGTATTTTTTGTCAAACCACCCCAACTGAGTTAAAAAATAAGACACCTGAATTTCTAGATTTTTGTGATTCTACCTACACAGACAGAATAGTACTATGCTTAATGCGAACAATTTAATGATGGTGATATTATTATTACGTGGAAAGGGTATCCTATTTATTTTTTTCACTGGAGCAGTGAGCACCTTTTTATAGAATAAGTTTTTTATGTTGATATGATTGTTTTGTGCCTTTTTATGTAAGTGGAATGCTTCGTTGAAATTTATGAAGAGAGTAGAGAATTGTAATTTGATCAATATGATCAAGCCAAAACCCACGGTTTCTCCATGTTATCTTTTACCTTGGGAGCATACCTTTCAAAATTGTATAAAAGAGCTATCATATATATTAACTGCAATAAAATATCAAAAGAATTAACTAGTGTAAGATTAAGAAAGGAGTTAAATAAAGCAGGAAAATGTCTTGTATAATTCTTTGAAAATTTCATTTACTAGTAAAAGTCCTAGATAATTTCAATGTATACAGTGGAAAGGCCGAACGAGAGGCGCAGAGGCGTTGCGGGGGCTTGTGCAGTTTTTGGGAGGGCTGTCACGTATGCGATCAGAGCTTTGCTGTATAGTGTTAGCTGCAGGGCTCAGCTGCAAAAGCGATCTGCGAATTAACCCCGGCCAGATCAATACACACTATATGCGTGTGGGTTCCGATTCGCTCTTCCATTCGGAGATTTGTTCATCCCCGGCAGAGGAGGCAGCACCAAAAGGCCGTTCAGTCAAAGCTCCTGCACGCACATTTATCAGGATACGCACTTAACGTGGATTTCTTTCATCTATTGGAAAAAGGGGAAAAGCGGCAAAGCTCGCTATCTCATCTCCGTCGTGCGGAAAATTGAGTGCCGAAATGGAACTCTGGAAATCGATTTTTTTTACTCTCTGCCTCTTTCAAAATTGCTTTTTTTTTCATTGCTGGCAACATCATACTTTTTTCAAAAGTAATGAAATAACTTTCGCACAAATGGAATAATCGGAAACAATTGCAGTTTGCTGACATGCACAGAAGAGAGCAGGGGCGAAGCAAAAGCAGCGGCCGCCGGGGGCCGCAAAAGTGCCAAGCACGCCCCACTGCACAAAAAGCCAGCAGACAGAGTCAATCAATTTTATTTATTTATTATTGCTGTCCGCCTGCCGGAATAATGCAATCATCACGACGCGATAATGCACGCCGTCCTGCCTGCCAATGAGCCTGGCGAAAAATCTGCTCTGCGCCAAAATGCGCCTTGTGGAAAGTAACAATTTTTTCTGAAACAAAAGCTGCATTGCAGTATAATACAATTGCTGACCATTACAAACAAGCGCGTGTTTAATCACGTTATGACTTAAAATAAATTAAACTGGCATTTTTTGATAAAAAAAAGGAAAAGCAATTCCTTATTGAACAACTGAAAAGTCTCTGACCAATGCAGATTATTTTTGAGTCAGCGATTTTTATTTTCATAATACAACTGATTCAAATTTTATCCACCTCTAAATTTTAATATTATACGTTTGAATGAATTTTTAGCCCAAAAGAGCGTTTTAACTTTTAAACTTAACCTAAAGGTAATTGAAAATTTACCTTTTGTACCTTTTGTTAAATTTGAATATTCACCTCATATGATATGATCTTGATCTATATACATTTTTGCAGAGATTGCCTTGCAATTCACCAATAAATTTAATTTAAAACCAAACTTACAAATCGATCGCTCAAAATTTAACTATTCCACCTTAAAAAATATTTTCTCTCTTCATATTTTTTTTATAATCATAATAAAGAGATAATTATTTATTAAAAAATGATAAAGGCCTTACTTGTTAAAGCTGTTTTCTTTGACGCCAATTTTCTTTGGTAAATTTCTACAAGTGGAAAAATTAGTGAATATTGGTGAATACAAAGCAGGGTGAGCGTGATTTTAGCGGGGTACGGGGGTGCAAATTTGACGCGGCTGAGTGGCCGCAGGTCAGATATTAGGTCGAGCATGTATGGTTCGCAGAATGATCAGCCAGGCGGCGGACGGCTAGGCGAGCAGCACTAATTGATCATCAGAGAGGTGCTTCATCACGGTGATAAATTCATCGTTGGTGAAAATATAACTGGGCGCACACGTACCATACTCACACACGCTCTCTTTCTTTTTCAAATTGAGGAAAAAGCTGCCGCACGCCGCGCATTATATAAATTTGCACGCCGAGTGAGCCGGACAATATTTTATATAGTATAAAAGAGCAGCGCGCGCGCCTCGCTCGCGTGCAACCCTTTGAGCACAAAGGGAAATGTGTTCATTTGATGACAGCTCGCTACTCGCTGCCCGCGTGCAACGCTCTCGTGGAAATCACAAGCGCGGAAAATTGATATCATGACGAGATGATGGTCGGACGAACGTGAAATCTCGTCTGCCCCCATGTGCACCGAACACACGCCCTAACCGCAACAATGCACTTGCTCCATAAAAGTATCATATTGAAAGGTAGTTTTGTGTTTTGAAAACTCAATAATCTATTTTTTTGTGCATTGAAAAATAAAATCATGGATTTGAAATTATTTGAATAGTTACTAAATGTCACATTTTAGGCTTCATGAGATTATTAGATGAAATAATTAGCTACTAGGCACGTGTATTTTATTAATTTATAAATTTACGTCTGCAAATTAAAACTAAAATAAATAATGTTTAAAATGATAAAAAATACATTAAATAAATTTAAAACGCAAACATTTAAAAAAAATTTATAAAATTTATATAAAGTGCATTTATATTATTTAAAAATATAATAAATTTTTTTTAAAATTTAATGAACATAATGCAACATTTTCTTAGCATAGTAATTTAAGATCAAAATTTATGCAGTCTGCGTTACCAAGATGCTAAAAGGTCTGCATAACTCTAAAATCAAGACGCACTCATTCCCACACATGCGAATATATTTTCCACCATTTAAATTCACTCTCATAATTGTTGAGTTTTGATAGAGATGACCAAAGAACAATTTTATTTTAATTCCTTGTTTGAAAATTATCGCGTAGGAAATCCTTCAACGTCATGACAGAAGTTTGATTTTGCCTATATATTTAGTTTGAAATTTAGTAAAAAAGGATTTAATTTTACCCAATTCATGAGAATAGTTGAGAAAAGGATTTTGTGAGCAAACAATGGAGGCGCCGCCCTACGCTGGAGCGCACCCGTAGACAAAGGCCTCTCTGGGCGACACTCTAACTTGAAAAATTAAATCTGCAACGGAGTGACGCTTTGTTTTTGCTCGGGTGGTAACTTTTCTTTGTGCCCGAGTCAACTCGACGTTAAGTTAAGACTTCCCACTGTCAGCAGTTGTTGTCGGCGGCAAACTTTAAGTGAATTACCACAAGCAAGAGAGAGGTGCTGCCCGTGTGTGCAGCAGCAGCTCTCGGTCCTTTGGTCGAGCAAACACACACACACACACATCCTCACTTCACTCTCCCTCACAAAGCACCTCCCGTGCTACAAGCGAATCTCATTTAATTACTCTATAATGTTGTTATAGGCGGCCTGGAGACATGGGCGCCGAGAGAGAGAAGTGAGAGAGAGCGTCGCTCTGGGGTCAGCTCTCCGCTCTGGCTATTAACGAGGTTTGCGAGTCCTATGGTCAAGAATCCACTCATCGCACTCATTAAAATTGTTAAAAATAAAAAGAAAATTTTAATCGTCAAATTTCTTTAATTTTTGAAAAGCCAGATGATTGAAGTTGAAATTTAGCTTATATTTCCCCCAAACTCCCAAACCGTGTTACTGATAGTTTTAGGAACACATTTTTATGTTTCATAGTCTTTCATTTAGGATCAGTTCAGATGAGATGAGATGAGTTAATATAAAACAGTTATGATAAGAAAGAGAGTAATCTGCCATTCGATATGGAAGCTTTGGTTGCTGAAAATCCTGAAAATATTGAAAAAATTTCATGTTATTTTTTTGCATCTATTAAATTTTTACTGAAACTTTTAAAATAGAAAAATTTACAAAACTAAAGTTATCAATGCACTCAGGTCACAGGAATCAACCTTTCTGACATTGCAATTTATTTTGTCTTGATATTTAAAAAAATTACCCGAACAACAATTTAATTAACGAAATCTATTGAACTAAAGTTTTTAATTTTATTTTGAATTGAAAACTACAATTTCTTTATTCAAGATTTATCGCAACTCAATTAGAAAACTGTGAGCGGAAACCGGCTTCGGCACCATACGAAGCACTTCTGTTGGCTACAGCAACATAATGCTGAGTAACTCCGACTTCCGAGGGTGCATTCATTACCGCCGCTTCTGCAACCAGCCACACATCCAATTAGCATAATAGCGATGGAGAGACGAGTCCTCGCGTTTATTGTCTCCTCCTTAATCACGTGGGCTAAAACTTTTCTCATTTCAACGTGTATTCTGTGCTATGGCTTCAAAAAATTCAAACCGTTTCAACTTGTCTGCTGCACAATAAGTCCCCATTGGTAACAATTATTTGCAAATAATTATCACTAAGATTGAACGCTTTTCTGGAAATTCAAGATAAAAGTACAATGTTTGAATAATAATATTAATTAAAAACACTATCTTATCTATTTAGATTTTATTTAAAATTTTGTGCAGAAAACTTTCTTGGGGGTTATTATGTATGTTGACAATCTAGCTACTTTTCAGCACTCTTCATTTACGTACAACTTGAAACTGTAAAATTAATTTTTTTTTAATAAGAGACTATTTCTGTTAAGTGTAATTTAAAATATTTGAAATTTACTTAAATTC